ACGACGATTCCTGGAAGTGCACCAGTGAGACCCTTGTTGACCTCCGCCTGGCGGAGTTGGAAGCGACAATTTCCAGTGCCCTCTTGGGGCCTCTGGGGGGCCCCTCAGAAAGCTTTGGGGAGCACAGTGAAGGCCTTCGCAGGGCCGCGTGAGAGCCGTACCAGGGCCGCATGTGTGCGCGGATGGGGGCGACGAGTGCTGACGCTGACGAATATGAGAATGATGAGGGCGATCAAGGCTGGCCCGAAACAAATCCTGGCGCCATTGCAGGCCGCCGATTATCGGCCACGCCGCCAGGACGACGCCAAGCAACAAAACGACACCAACCAACAAACCGACACCAACCAACAAACCAACAAATCGACACCGGCCAACAAAAGGACACCAAGCAACAAAACGACACCAAGCAACAAAACGACACCAACCAACGAAACGACACCAACCAACAAAACGGCACGAATCAACAAAACGGCACTGACCAACCAAACGACAAATCACTTCACGACACCAATGAACAACGCGAAATCCACCGACCGCCAACCAAGCATAAAATCAACCGACACAACGAAACCAACCCATAGAGCCAGACCAACCACTGGATTCGTGAGTCGGGGTAGTCATGGAAGTGAGCCGCTGCAGCCCGCGGAAGCCATTAACAGTGACCAGAGCACCGCAATGCAGCAACGTCCCCGGGCGGCGGCGGGAGTCTTGGATCTCCCGCGGGACTGGAGCGTAGCGAGTTCGTCCTGGGTCCGGTTTAGTGAAGTGAAGAATTTCGGGGTGCTTGCATGGCAAAAACCTTCACTTCACTAATCTGGGGCCCCTGGAGCCCCAGGGCGTTTCAGGTCCCCTCGCTGTCTGGGTAGTCCAGGGGGCGCAGTGGCGGCTTACCAGAGGCCCTGTTCCCTAGCCTCACTTGCTTTCACCCGTGGTGCTCGACGGCCGTCTCGGAGCTGTCTTGTGGCGGTCTGGGGCAATCCCGAAGCCTCTTGGAGCCATCCCAAGGCCCCAAGGCGCCACCAATGGGGGCCCCAAGAGAGCTCCCAGAGGGCCCCGAAAGGCCTACAACAGATTGCACGTTCGCGCGAATTTTTTGTACCATTTTGGGGGGTCCCTCTTGGGGCCCTCGGGGAACGTTCTTGGGGCCCTCCGAGGGCCCACTGGGGCCCCGGGAAGGCCCCAAGAACGCTCCCAGAGGGCCCCAAGAATGCTCCAAGAGGGCCCCAAGAGGACCCCCACAAGTGACAAAAACTATTTGCATGAGGGTGCAACTTACTCGGCGCCTCTTGGGGCGCTCTTGGAGCCGTGCTGGGCGCCACTCGTGGACGACATGGGCTGGGCGACGGCATGTGGACCCTGTCGCTTGGGCCATCGGGGGTGTTCCCCAATGGGGCCACGAAGCTTGTGAGCGTATGACGGAATGGGCTGGGCGGCGGCCTGTGGGCCCTGCCTGTGGGGCCGTCGGTGTAGCTCCCCGTGGGGCCACGAAGCGTGTGAAACGTATGCCGAAATATGCTGGGCGGCGGCCTGGGAAACCTGCCGCTGGGACCTTTTTTTGGTGGAGCTGCCTATAGGGGCACGAAATGTTTGAGGGTGTCATCAATGTGGCCTGGGCGACGGCATGTGGACCTTGCCGCCGGGACCTCCGATGAGCTCCTCATGGGGACACGAAGCGTCTGAGGGGCGTGCCGACATGGGCTGGGCGGCGCACTAAGGACCCTGCCGATGGGGCCTTCGGTGGAGCACCTCACAAGGCCACGAGACTTGCGGGGGATGCGGCGAAGCAGAAACGCGGGGGAACAAGGGGGGTGTTTTGATGATGTTGATGAGGATGGTGGTGGTATTGATGATGGAGACGGCGAGAATGCTGATGATGCTGATGATGATGGTGATGGCGACGATGACGATGGACGATGACGACGGAGACACGCGGAGAGCAGGGGCAGATACGCGAAGAGGGAGGACGAGGGAGGGGGCCGGAAGGAATGACGCGGGGCGGTGTCTCTTCAAAACGAAGAACCAACACTGCAATATGGTAGGAAATTTCTGGACGACCCCCCCCCGTGGCGCGGTCAATGTCCGCGACAGCATCGCTGGCACTACGAACGAAATGATCGAACTCTTCCTGCGACGTTACCCGCGGGGTGGATCAGCCAGGGATGGGGGTCGAAACCGCCCCAGCGCAAAGCAAATGTACAATCCTGAGAAACCCCAGCCCACATCAACCGATCCGCAACAAGCACGCAAGCCTTTGACGACCCCAACGCACGTGACATCGCATAACGCGACGCGCCATCGAAAACGTTCGACGCGCGGCCTCGGAATGACATCGGGCTTCATGGAACGTCGAATGGAAAACATGAAAAACCGCCCTGTGGGCTCCGAGACCCAAAATTACTGATGTGAAAGATTTCGGCTCGTCGAAATGCAGCACGCTGAGGAGCAGCGCTGTTCCCTGCCGCAGGCTGAGGAGCACCGCTGTTCAATGCAGCAGGGTCAAGAGCACCGCCGCCAGACCGAGAACTATCAGCATGTCCTGGCATGAAGGTGCGCAGTAGGCGCTGCGCAGTTCCTTGGAAAGGAAATCTTCGAAAGCGGGGCTGTAGCCAAGAAGGCTACGGGGACGATGATGATGATGAAGATGATGAGTCTTGGAAGTCTGGGAAGTGGAAGAGCACGAAGTGGCGTACAGTTGGCTCCGGGCATTCAAAATGTGGCCTGGGAGAAAAGTTCTGGGATGTGGAAGAACACGAAGTGGCCTACAGTTGGCTCCGGGCATTCAGTATGTGGCCCGGGAATGATGTTCTGGGAAGTCCAAGAAAACGGAGTGGCCTACAGTTGGCTCCGGGCATCCAAAATGTGGCCCGGGAATGGAGTTCTGGGAAATCGAAGAGCACGAAGTGGCCTACAGTTGGCTCCGGGCATCCAAAATGTGGCCCGGGAATGGAGTTCTGGGAAGTCGAAGAGCACGAAGTGGCCTACAGTTGGCTCCGGGCATTCAAAATGTGGCCCGGGAATGGAGTTCTGGGAGGTCGAAGAGCACAAAGTGCGCGACTGTTTGCTTAAAACGAACCCGGCCCTCGCCTGTCCGGCTCCCGCCCAGACCCCCCCGGGGAGTCATCAGATGCTCTCTTTTGACCCCAGTAGAAACCTGTCAGTCTTCGCCGTTAGGTAAAAACACACGCATGCGTGCCCCTGGAGAGACCCAATATACAAGTAATGAGAGGCCCAGTTATAGGAATATGCGTAAAAGAACACACGGGTTCGTGCCCCTGGAGAGGGCCACTATATGGGAACACACGTAATCCTGGAGAGGGCCAAGCTATAGGAATATACGCAAAAAAACCGGGGTCGTGCCCCTGGAGAATGCCCATCTATAGGTAATGAGAGGGCCCATCTATAGGAGCATACGAAAAAAATATCCCGGCAAAGCAACCTAACAGCGATGTGTAGAAGCATATCTGAAAGCATTCCCCTTAAGATTCAGATGAAAATCCAGTTGTTGAATTCTGCTGTTCTCGCAGTCGTAGTCGCATTCGCGATGACAGTCGCAGCGGCAACGGCAGTCGCAGTCACAGCCTCAGCCTCAGCCTGCCTCAGCCTCAGCCTCAGCCTGCCTCAGCCTCAGCCTGCCTCAGCCTCAGCCTCAGCCTGCTTCAGCCTCAGCCTCAGTCTGCCTTCAGCCTCGGCCTCAGCCTCAGCCTGCCTCAGCCAGCCTGCATCAGCCTCAGCCTCAGCCTCAGCCTGCCTCAGCATCAGCCTGCCTCAGCCTCAGCCTCAGCCTGCCTCAGCCTCAGCCTCAGTCTGCTTCAGCCTCAGCCTCAGTCTGCCTTCAGCCTCGGCCTCAGCCTCAGCCTGCCTCAGCCTCAGCCTGCCTCGGCCGCAGCATCAGCCTGCCTCAGCATTCAAAATGTGGCCCAGGAATGAAGTTCTGGGAACTAGAAGAACACGAAGTGGCCTACAGTTGGCTCCGGGCATTCAAAATCATGCCCAGGAATGGAGTTCTGGGAACTTGAAGAGCACGAAGTGGCCTACAGTTGGCTCCGGGCATCCAAAATGTGGCCCGGGAATGGAGTTCTGGGAAATCGAAGAGCACGAAGTGGCCTACAGTTGGCTCCGGGCATCCAAAATGTGGCCCGGGAATGGAGTTCTGGGAAGTCGAAGAGCACGAAGTGGCCTACAGTTGGCTCCGGGCATCCAAAATGTGGCCCGGGAATGGAGTTCTGGGAGCACCAAGAGCGATTTTGCGAGGATGTCCCAAGCGATTTCGGCTTCGGCGGCAGCCCGGCGGCAGCCGTTCCGGGTCCCGCCCAGACCCCCCTGAGGAGTCATGATGCTCTCTTTTGAAACCACTAGAAACCTATCAGCAAGAGCTGTTAGGTAAAAACAAACGCATGCGTGCCCCTGGATGGAGCGAACCTATGGGAACACACGTATTCCTGGAAAGGGCAAATCTGTAGGAATATACGTAAAAACACTCGTCTTCGTGCCCATGGAGAGAGCCAATCTATAGGTAACGAGAGGGCCCATCTATAGGAACATACGTAAAAACACATAGATACGTACCCCTGGATGGGGCCAATCTATAAGCACTACGTCATCCATGCCCCTGACCAAAACGTGTCCCGCACCCTGTGATGTATCGATCGCGATTTCAAAAACCAGCGTTTCGCTAGGGACATCCTCAAAGTTTAATTCGCCGGCCCACCTCGGCCTCGATATTTATCGCAAAAAAGATCCGCCGGCCCACCTCAAGTCACACCCGGAGGTAAACCAACTGAAAGAGAACCCTAGGCTTATGCCCTTTCCCGGGGAAACTCGATCCCCAGAAGACCGATCCTCAGAAGGATTGTTGAAGCTCAGGCCCAACGACGGCCCTCAGAAACTCCATCCTCCGAAGCTCCATCCTCAGAAAGATTGTGAGCAAGGAGGAAGAAGGAGGAAGGAGTGGAGGAAGGAGGAGGAAGAAGTAGAAGGAGAAGGGGAGAAGGCCAGCACGCCTTGCTGAGCTGCACCTCCGCGCACTCTAACCTGCGCCTGGACTCGGCCGCCCCGCCGTCGAATTCCTGCGGAGCGGCGAACGCCGGGCAGGGTACGGACGGGCTCTCCTCCTCCTCCTCCTCTTCCTCCTCCTCCTCCTCCTCCTCCTCCTCCTCCTCCTCCTCCTCCTCCTCCTCCTCCTCCTCCTCCTCCTCCTCCTCCTCCTCCTCCTCCTCCTCCTCTCCTTCCACCTCCTCCTCCTCCTCCTCCCTCCTCTCATCCTCCTCCTCCTCTTCCTCTCCTCCTCCTCTCCACCTCCTCCTCCTCCTCCCCCTACTCTCCCCCCACCTCCTCCTCCTCCTCCTCCTCCTCCTCCTCCTCCTCCTCCTCCTCCTCCTCCTCCCCTCCTCCATCTTCTCCTCTCCTCCTCTCCTCCTCCTCCTCCTCCTCCGTCCTCCTTCTCTCCTCTCCTCCTCCTCCTCCTCCTCCTCCTCCTCCTCCTCTTCGTCCACTCCTCTCATCCTCCTCCTCCTCCTCTCCTCCTCCTCCTCCTCCTCCTCCTCTTCTTCCTCTTCTTCCTCCTATTCCTCCTCGTCCCCCTCCTCCTCCTCCTACTCCTCCTCCTCCTCCATCTCCATCCCTTTTCCTTATAAATTACTTCTGCTTGTCGCACCCCGAAGCCAGTTATTCGGGTGGGCCTGGCGTTTCGCCTGAGACGTCCTCAACATCTATGAACCTGAAGCTAAAACACATGACAACGGTTTCACAGATGGAGGGCGGGTGGTTTTCACAATGTGGCTCTCGCCTCAGCGCCGCGCACCGTTGTCTTGAACATTGCAAGATGTTCACGGATTGAGGGCGGATGGTTTTCAAACTGTGGCCCTCGCCTTCGCGCCGCGCATATTCGTTTTTAAACATTTGCAAGACTCGCCTTAGCGCCGCGCATATCTGCTCATAAGCTTGCAAGAAATTCACTGTTTACCATGATCAACGTAACCAACATGATCGACCCACGAACCCGGAAAGGAATATAGAAATGTAAGGCATAGCAACGTTTCAAAGACACTGGATTGGGCGACGGCCAAACGCAATGCTGAACGGATCGATCTTGATGTACCGTGCCGAGGGCTGTGCTGTGCAGCGCCGTGCTGAATTGCGATGTGCCATGCCGCGATTGTGCTCTATAGCGTTGTGGATCGAGTCCTCCTTTGTATCCGAGTCCTGACCGAATTGATCTGGATCTTAAGCTCGAGCTGCCTCAGCACATAGTAGCTGCCCCAGAGCTAATTGACAAGGGAACATGCCAGGAGGACGCGCCGCGGAACGTCCCAAGGGACGCGCCAGGCGACGTGCCAAGGGACGTGCCACGAAGACGCACCGCGGGACGTGCCGAGGGGACGCGCTACGGAACGTGCCAATGCACGTGCCACGGGACGTGCCAGGGGACGCGCCGCGCGACGTGCCAGGGGGACACGCCACGGGACGCGCCACGGAACGTGCCAGGTTGTAATGCTGAGTGTATCGATCTTGATGTACGAGGGCTGTGCTGTGCTGCGCTGTGCTGAACTGCGATGTGCCATGCCGCGATTGTGCTCTATAGCGTTGTGGATGGAGTCCTCCTTTGCATCCGAGTCCTGACCGAATTGATCTGGATCTTAAGCTCGAGCTGCCTCAGCACATAGTAGCTGCCCCAGAGCTAATTCACAGGGGAACATGCCAGGAGGATGCGCCGCGGAACGTCCCAAGGGACGCGCCAGGCGACGTGCCAGGGGACGTGCCACGGGGACGCACCGCGGGACGTGCCGAGGGGACGCGCTACGGAACGTTAAAATGCGTGGTCCTTGCTCGGGGCAACCATGTTAGACATCCCCCTGGATGGCCTGGACACTTAACATGATGGACCCACGAACCCGGACAGGGATATAGAAATGTGGAGCATGGGCACGTTTTCACGATACCCAACGGGGCAACACCTCACGAAACATCCCACGAGACACCTCACGAAACATCCCACGAGACACCTCACGAAACATTCCGCGAGACACCTCACGAAACTCACCCCGCGAAACATTCCACGAGACACCCCACGAAACATTCCACGACGACAGGCAACCACTCAACCAAGGCGGTGTGGTCGTGCTGGGGAGTGGTCGTGCTGGGGTGTGGTCGTGCTGGGGGGTGGTCGTGCTGGGGCGTGGTCGTGCTGGGGGGGTGGTCGTGCTGGGGGGTGGTTGTGCTGGGGCGTGGTCGTGCTGGGGCGTGGTCGTGCTGGGGCGTGGTCGTGCTGGGGTGTGGTCGTGCTGTGGTGAGGTCGTGCTGGGGTGTGGTCGTGCTGGGGTGTGGTCTTGCTAGGGTGGGTCGTGCTGGGGTGTGGTCGTGCTGGGGTGTGGTCGTGCTGGGGTGTGGTCGTGCTGGGGGTGGTCGTGCTGGGGTGGTCGTGCTGGGGTGTGGTCGTGCTGGGGTGTGGTCGTGCTGGGGTGGTCGTGCTGGGGTGGGGTCGTGCTGGGGTGGGGTCGTGCTGGGGTCGTGCTGGGGTGTGGTCGTGCTGGGGTGTGGTCGTGCTGGGGCGTGGTCGTGCTGGGGTGGGGTCGTGCTGGGGTGGGGTCGTGCTGGGGTGTGGTCGTGCTGGGGTGGTCCGCACCCTGTGATTCATCGATCGGGTCGTGCTGGGGTGTGGTCGTGGTGGGGTGTGATCGTGGTGGGGTGTGGTCGTGTTGGGGTGTGGTCGTGCTGGGGTGTGGTCGTGCTGGGGTGTGGTCGTGCTGGGGTGTGGTCGTGCTGGGGCGTGGTCGTGCTGGGGTGTGGTCGTGCTGGGGTGTGGTCGTGCTGAGGTGTCCCGCACCCTGTGATTTATCGATCGGGATTTCAAAAACAAGCGTTTCGCCTGAGACATCCTGAAATTTTAATCCGCCGGCCTCCTTCGACCTCGATATTTATCAGGGAAAGAATCCGCCGGCCTCCTTCAAGTTGGGCACGGGGACATTGTTTACATACTAAAAGAGAACCCTGGGCCGATGCCCTTTCCGGGAAAAACACATGGTGCCAGCTCGGGAAACCAAGCTATATACACCCCTGGGTAGCCTGGACTCGTTACAACACGTGGTCCTTGCTCAGAACAATCACTTTAGATCCCCCCTGGGTGGCCTGGATACGTAAAAACATATGGTTCAAGCTCGGGACAACCATGTTAGATATCCCCCTGGGTGGCCTGGACGCGTAAAAACATATGGTTCCAGCTCGTGACCACCATGTTACATACAACCTGGGTGGCCTGCACACGTAAAAACACGTGGTCCAGCCCACCCAGGGGGGGATATCTAACATGCGGTCGTCTGGAGCGCAGGAGGGCCCAGGAACGCCCAGAGGCGCCTGGAGGCCAAAATTAGTCGAGACATCCTCGAAATTCCTGCGCACGGGACGCGGCACGCGCAAAACATCATCGGAATTCCTGCGCGCGGGGCGCTTTTCCGCGTGCTCTGCAAAACCAGCGTTTCGCTCGAGACATCCTCAACAAATTCTGAAAACAAGCGTTTCGCTCGAGACATCCCCAACTCTGCAAAACCAGCGTTTCGCTCGAGACATCCTCAACAAATTCTGAAAAGCAAGCGTTTCGCTAGAGACATCCTCAAAAATAATTTCGCCGGCCCTCTTCCCGCACGTAATTTATCGCAGAATAATTTCGCCGGCCCTCTTCCCGTCGAAACCGGGGGGTAAACCCACTAAAAGAGAACCCTGGGCTCGAGCCCTTTCCAGGAAAAATTGCTTTTTGGAAAGATTCAAGACCATGAAGGTGCAACCGTTACGGTGATTCGCAGTGTTGAAGTCCCCAGAACGGCGCTCTGGCACGATCCAGGATCGACAAGACGCAACAGTCAAGTTGATCCGTGGCGTTGGAATCTCGAGAACCATGTTTTGGCATGCTTCAGAGTCTTCAAATTGTTGTCTTCCAACGAGGTAGTTCCCTCAGTGCAAATGAAACGCTGTAGGGGCCTATGAAGAGGGAGTCTGGAGGGAGGGTTTATTCCAACATCGTTGATGACTCTTGCGTTTACAATGGTCCTCCTCCTCCTCCACCTCCTCCTCCTGTTCCTGTTCCTGTTCCTGATCATCCTGTTCCTCTTCTTCCACCCCCTTCTCCTCCTCCTCCTCCTTCTCCTCCTCCTCCTCCTCCTCCTCCTCCTCCTCCTCCTCCTCCTCCTCCCCCTCCTCCTCCTCCTCCTACAATCCCACCATCAAGTTGTGCCACAATTAACTCGTATGGTGTGGAAAAGAGGTCTGCGGGTACTCGATTCCAACTCCTGTCCATCATTCCGTGTTGGCATCTGTTCCCACTCTGCCACCTAGCCGGCCAACAGCCCCTCATACGGGCCCTGTCATCCTGTCATGTGTGTTATTCTTGGCTCGTGTGCTAACATGATCCACCCACGAATCCGGAAATAAATTTAGAAATATAAGGCGTAGCAGCGTTTCAAGGACACCTGATTGGGCGACGGACAACTGCAATGCTGAATGTGTCGATCTTGATGTACCGTGCCGAGGGCTGTGCTGTGCTGCGCCGTGCTGAATTGCGATGTGCAATGCCGCAATTGTGCTCTATAGCGCTGTGGATCGAGTCCTCCTTTGCATCCGAGTCCTGACCGAACTGATCTGGATCTTAAGCTCGAGCTGCCTTGGCACATCGTAGCTGCCCCAGAGCTAATTGACAGGGGGGCTGCCAGTGGGACGCGCTACGGAACGTCCCAAGGGACGCGCCAGGTGACGTGCCAAGGGACGTGCCGTGGGGACGCACCGCGGAACGTGCCAAGGGGACGCGCTACGGAACGTGCCAATGGACGTGCCACGGGACGCGCCAGGGGACGCGCCGCGTGACGTGCCAGGGGGACTCGCCAAGGGACGCGCCACGGAACGTGCCAGGGAACGTGACAAAATGTAATGCTGAATGTACCGATCTTGATGTACCGTGCCAAGGGCTGTGCTGTGCTGCGCCGTGCTGAATTGCGATGTGCCATGCCGCACATGTCCTCTATAGCGTTGTGGATCGAGTCCTCATTTGCAGCCGAGTCCTGACCGAACTGATCTGGATCTTAAGCTCGAGCTGCCTTGGCACATCGTAGCTGCCCCCTGCCAGGGGGACGCGCTACGGAACGTCCCAAGGGACGCGCCAAGCGACGTGCCAGGGGACGTGCCGTGGGGACGCACCGCGGGACGTGCCAAGGGGACGCGCTACGGAACGTGCCAATGGACGTGCCACGGGACGCGCCAGGGGACGCGCCGCGCGACGTGCCAGGGGGACTCGCCAAGGGACGCGCCACAGAACGTGCCACTGAACGTGCATGGTTGCAATGCTGAGTGTATCGATCTTGATGTACCGTGCCGAGGGCTGTGCTGCGCTCCGACGTGCTGAATTGCGATGTGCCATGCCGCGATTGTGCTCTATAGCGCTGTGGATCGAGTCCTCATTTGAATCCGAGTCCTGACCGAACTGATCTGGATCTTAAGCTCGAGCTGCCTGGGCACATCGTAGCTGCCCCAGAGCTAAATGACAGGGGGACTGCCAGGGGGACGCGCCACGGAACATCCCAAGGGACGCGCCAGGCGACGTGCCAGGGGAAGTGCCGTGGGGACGCACCGCGGGACGTGCCAAGGGGACGCGCTACGGAACGTGCTGGGGACAAGCGTTTCGCTCGAGACATCCTCAACATATCCTCATGCTCGACATCCGCCTGGGCGACCTGGACACGCGAAAACGAGCGTTTCGCTCGAAACATCTTCAACACATCCTCATGCTAGACATCCGTCTGGGCGACCTGGACACGTGAAAACAAATGGTTCGCTCGAAACATCCTCAACTCATCTTCATGTTCGACGTCCGCCCGGGTGACCTGGGCACGCGAAATCAAGCGCTTCGCTCGAAAGCGCTCTTAACACCTCCTCATGCTAGACATCCGACCTGGACACCTGAAGGCAAACGTCTCGCTCGAGACATCCCCAACACTTCCTTATGTTAGACATCCGCCTGGGCGGCCTGGACACGTGAAACCAAGCGTTTGGCTCAACACATCCTCAACACACCCTCATGCTCGACATTCGCCTGGGCGACCTGGACACGCGAAGACGAGCGTCTCGCTCGAAACATATTCCGAAAATCTTCATGCTAGTCATCCGCCTGGGCGACCTTGGCACTTGAAAACAAGCGTGTCGCTCAACACATGCAGCTCAAAGCATCCTCATGCTAGACATCCGCCCGGGCGACCTGAACACGTGAAAACTAGCGCTTCGCTCAACACTTCCTCAACCTATCCTCAGGCTAGACATCCGTCTGGGCGACCTGGACACGTGAAAGCAAGCGCCTCTCTCGAAACATCCTCAACAAATCTTCATGTTCGACGTCCGCCTGAGCGACCTGGACACGTGAAAACAAGTGTTTCGCTAAACGCATCCTCAACACATCATCACGCTAGACATCCGCCTGGGCGACCTAGACACGTGAAAGCAAGCGTCTCTCTCGAGACATCCTCAACACATCCTCATATTAGACATCTGCCTGAGCTACCTGGACACGTTAAAACAAGTGTTTCGCTCAAGGCATCCTCAACACATCATCATGCGCGACCTGGAGACGTGAAAGCAAGCGTCTCGCTCGAGACATCCTCAACACATCCTCATGCTAGACATCTGTCTGGACGACCTGGACGCGTGAAAAAGGCAATCATCATCATCGTCAGCATCAGCATCGTCATCATCGTCATCATCAGCAGCATCCTCAGCGGAATCGTCATCAGCAGCATTATCGTCAACATCATCAGCATCATCATCATACTCATCGTCAGCATCGTCATCATAATCATCATCAGCATCCTCATCATCATCATCATCATCAGCAGCAGCATCACCACCATCATTAGCATCATCATCATCATCATCATCATCATCATCATCATCATCATCATCATCATCATCATCATCGTCAGCATCATCATCATCATCATCATCATCATCATCATCATCATCATCATCATCATCATCATCATCATCATCATCATCATCATCCACCTTCTCCTCCTCCACCTCCTCCTCCTGCTCCTCCTCCTTCTCCCCCTGCTCCTCCTGCTCCTCCTGCTGCTGCTCCTCCTCCTGCTCCTGCTCCTCCTCCTCCTCCTCCTCCGCCTCCTCCTCCTCATCGTCCTCCCCTTCCCTCTCCTCGTCTTCTTCTTCTTCCTCCTCCTCCTCCTCCTCCTCCTCCTCCTCCTCCTCCCCCTCCTCCTCCTCCTTCTTTCCCGCCCTTAGATTCAAGGCTGACCCTCCACCTACCAAAGGAGCTTACAGCCGATGCGTGGCCACAAGCACGCAGATCAAGAGCACGAACCCCCTCGCCGAAGGCACCCCAAACGAGGAGTAACCCAGTGCGGAGAGCTCAAGCCAGAAGAACATGAGGATGCCAAACCGAAGCCAGGGACGTCATTGACACTCGTGCCAGCCGTAGCCAGAGGGGCCAACAGGTGCTCTCTCGGGCGACCAGTCCTTCACCGCCTCCTGCTCTTGGTCCGCGCGGATCATCGCCGACTCGCACTTGGCCAGCGCCACGTCGCACTCTGCCAGCTCGGCAAGGTACTGCTGGGACCGCCGCTTCTCCAGGCTCAGGGCGCTGCCCAGAGAGGCGGAATCCTGCAACTCCGACCTTGAGGAGCCCGAGGAACATGATGGACCCACGAACCCGGAAAGGGATATAGACATGTGGAGCATGGGCACGTTTTCACGATACCCAACGGGGCAACACCTCACGAAACATCCCACGAGACACCTCACGAAACATCCCACGAGACACCTCACGAAACATTCCGCGAGACACCTCACGAAACATTCCAGGAGACACCCCGCGAAACATTCCACGAGACACCCCACGAAACATTCCACGACGACAGGCAACCACTCAACCAAGGCGGTGTGGTCGTGCTGGGGAGTGGTCGTGCTGGGGTGTGGTCGTGCTGGGGGGTGGTCGTGCTGGGGTGTGGTCGTGCTGGGGGGGTGGTCGTGCTGGGGGGTGGTCGTGCTGGGGCGTGGTCGTGCTGGGGCGTGGTCGTGCTGGGGCGTGGTCGTGCTGGGGTGTGGTCGTGCTGTGGTGAGGTCGTGCTGGGGTGTGGTCGTGCTGGGTGAGGTCGTGCTGGGGTGTGGTCGTGCTGGGGTGTGGTCTTGGGGTGGGGTCGTGCTGGGGTGTGGTCGTGCTGGGGTGTGGTCGTGCTGGGGTGTGGTCGTGCTGGGGTGTGGTCGTGCTGGGGAGTGGTCGTGGGGGGCGTGGTCGTGCTGGGGTGGTCGTGCTGGGGGGTGGTCGTGCTGGGGGGTGGTCGTGCTGGGGCGTGGTCGTGCTGGGGCGTGGTCGTGCTGGGGCGTGGTCGTGCTGGGGTGTGGTCGTGCTGTGGTGAGGTCGTGCTGGGGTGTGGTCGTGCTGGGGTGTGGTCTTGCTGGGGTAGGGTCGTGCTGGGGTCGGGTCGTGCTGGGGTGTGGTCGTGCTGGGGTATGGTCGTGCTGGGGTGGGGTCGTGCTGGGGTGGGGTCGTGCTGGGGTCTGGTCGTGCTGGGGTGTGGTCGTGCTGGGGTATGGTCGTGCTAGGGTGGGGTCGTGCATTTCGCTCGAGACATCCTGCCAAAATTCCAGGAAATCGTACAAAAACAAACGAATTAGTCGAGACATCATCGAAATTCCTTCGCGCGGGGCGCTTTTCCGCGTCGCGGTCGGCTCTGCAAAACAAGCGTTTCGCTCGAGACATCCTCGGCAAACTCTGCGGAGCAAGCGTTTCGCTCGAGACATCCTCAACTCTGCAAAACCAGCGTTTCGCTCGAGACATCCTCAAGAAATTCTGAAAAACAAGCGTTTCGCTCGAGACATCCTCAAATTTTAATTCGCCGGCCTCCTTCGACCTCGTTATTTATCAGGGAAAAAATTCGCCGGCCTCCCTCAAGTTGGCACCGGGGGACAGGTTTACCTACTAAAAGAGAACCCTGGGCCTATGCCCTTTCCGGGAAAAAACACTGGACGACGGAAGAATGGAGGCGAGTCCGAAGAAGCAAGTGAGCAGAAAGCCCCAAGAGGACGGAATCTAAACATGATGGACCCACTAACCCGGAAAGAGATATAGAACCGCATGCATGGAAACGTTTTCACGACACCGTATTGGGCGACGGGCACTTCCACGAGACACCCTGCGAAACATTCCACGAGACACGGGCGACCGTTTTCAACGTTTCCCTGGAAACATTCCACGAGACACCCCGCGAAACAGTCCACGAGACACCCCACGAAACATTCCACGACGACAGGCAACCACTCAACCAAGGCGGTGTGGTCGTGCTGGGGAGTGGTCGTGCTGGGGTGTGGTCGTGCGTGCTGGGGGGTGGTCGTGCTGGGGGGGTAGTCGTGCTGGGGGGTGGTCGTGCTGGGGCGTGGTCGTGCTGGGGCGTGGTCGTGCTGGGGCGTGGTCGTGCTGGGGCGTGGTCGTGCTGTGGTGAGGTCGTGCTGGGGTGTGGTCGTGCTGGGTGATGGTCTTGCTGGGGTGGGGTCGTGCTGGGGTGGGGTAGTGCTGGGGTGTGGTCGTGCTGGGGTGTGGTCGTGCTGGGATGTGGTCGTGCTGAGGTGGCCCGCACCCTGTGATTTAACGATCGAGATTTCAAAAACAAGCGTTTCGCCTGAGACATCCTCAAATTTTAATCCGCCGGCCTCCTTCGACCTCGATATTTATCAGGGAAAGAATCCGCCGGCCTCCTTCAAGTTGGGCACGGGGGGACATGTTTACATAGAGAAAGAGAACCCTGGGCCCACGCCCTTTCCGGGAAAAACAAACGGGACGCTGCGTCAAAAGGAGAGAGTGTCTAGCCAACTCATGACCGAGTGACGTGGGCGCGCGGTGCGAGATGTGCATCGCGCTCCAGAAGACACATCTGTAAGCACATACGTCGTGCCTCCATGGAGAGGGCAAATCCCCGGGGCGCCCAGGTCCCACGTTCCACCTCGAACGCCCGCGCGGGTGCCGCCGCCGCGTCGAATCGACCCGAATCTGCCGTACCCCCTGCGAAATGCTTAAGAAATCATGGGTTAAGAAATTCATAGTCTCAGCAACTGAATAAAACCCAGAATTTCTATCAAAATCTTGTGATTTACGTTCAAAAGTTAAGAATAATCGAGACCCTGGCCGAAAATTTAGGTTTTCTTAAGCATCGCCTGAGGTGTACCCCAGAATCCACTCAAAACGAGTCCCCGGACCCGCCCCGGAGTCCAAAAGCACCAGTTTCCCGCGCTGCGTCAAAAGGAGAGAGTATCTTATCTAGCCAATTCATGACCGAGAGACGTGGGCGCGCGGTGCGATATGTGCATCGCGCCCCAGAGGGCAAATCTGTGGGCACATACGTGAAAGCACACGGACTCTCGCGCCCCTGGGGAAATCAAATCTATACGCCCATACGTAAAAGCACGTGGATTCGTGCACCTGGAGAGGGCAAATCTACAGGCACATACGTAAAAACACACGGGTTCGTGCACCTGGAGAAAGCAAATCTCTGGGGCGCCCAGATCCCTCAAGTTCTACAAAACAAGCGGTTCGCTCGAGACATCCTCGGTAACTCTGCGGAGCAAGCGTTTCGCTCGAGACATCCTCAACACACGAAAGAGTGGCCCGCACCCTGTGATTTATCGATCGGGATTTCAAAAACAAGCGTTTCGCCTGAGACATCCTCAAATTTTAATACGCCGGCCCACCTCGACCTCGATATTTATCAGGGAAAGAATCCGCCGGCCCACCTCAATTGAGGCACCGGGGACAGGTTTACCAACTAAACGAAAACCCTGGGCCGGCGCCTTTTCCGGGAAAAAGAACATGTGAAATATTATCCTAGCAGAGGACCCTGCCATATGCAGTTGCGAGTAACGCCGTTGCGAGTATCGCCTTCGGTGGATCTCGCTATGGGGCCACAAAACTTGTAAAGGGTGTGCCGGAATTGGGCGGGGCCGCCATACGGGCGCTGCTCCTGGGGCCTTAGGTGCACCCATCATTTTATGGGGCCACGAAACGTGTGAGGGGTGTGCCGAAATGGGGCGGGGACGCCATGCGAAAGTCGCCACTGGGGCTTCGGTGGAGCTCCCCATGGGGCCACGAAGCGTTTGAGGGATGTGCCGAAACGGGCGGGGGGGCCTTCGGTGGAGCTCCGTATGTGGCGACGAATCTTGTGAGCGGTGTGCCAAACTGGGCGGGGGGGACGCATGCGAATGTCCACATCGGGGCCTGCGGTGGGTGGGGCTCCCTATGGGGACACGAAACGTGTGAGGGGTGTGCCGACATGGGTGGGGGGGCGCACGCGAACGTCGCCACTGGGGCCTTCGGTGGAGCTCCCAAGGGGTACACGAAACACTGTGCTGGGTGGGGCGGACGCATGCGAACGTCGCCACGGGAGCCTTCGGTGCAACTCCCTATGGGGCCACGAGACGCTGTACTTGGTGGTGGGAAAGCATGCGGCCGCGGCCACTGGGGCACTCGGTGGAGCACTCTATGGGGCCGCGAAGCGCTGTACTGTGTGGGGCGGGCGCGTGCGAACGTCGCCACGGGGGCCTCCGGTGGAACTCTCGATGGGGCCAGGGAACGCTGCACTGGGTGGGGCTGACGCGCGCGTGCGAACGTCGCCACGGGCACCTTCGGTGGGGGCCCTCATATGGGGTCACGAAACGCCGTATTGGGTGGGGCGGACGAATGCGAACATCGCCACGGGGGGCTTCAATGGGGTTCCCTATGGGGCCACGAAGCACTGTACTGGGTTGGGCGGACGCATGCGAACGTCGACACTATGGCCTTCGGAAGAACTCACTATGGGACCGCGAAGCCCTGTATTGGGCGGGGGGGGGCCCAATGCGAACGTCGCAACGGGTTCGGTGGAGCGCCATTGTGGGGCACGAAGCGCTGCACTGGGTGGGGCGGTCGCATGCGAACGTCGCCACTGGGGGCCTTCGGTTGAGCTCCTTATGGGGCCACGAAACGCTGTACTGGATGGGGCGGGCGCCTGCGAACGTCGCCACTGGGGGCCTTCGGTGGAGCTGCATAAGAGGGCCACGAGACGCTGTATTGGGTGGGGCGGACACGTGCGAACGTCGCCACGGCGGGCCTTCGGTGGAGCGCCATCTATGGGGCCACGAAACGCTTGAGAAGGGTGCGACGAACCGGTTGACGTGCGGGATGCAGGGGCACGCAGGGGAGGAGGGAGGATAGGGGGGAGGAGGAGAAGGAGAAGGAGAAGAGGGTAGGATAGGGGGGGGGAGGAGAAGGAGAAGGGAAGGAGGGAGGATAGGAGGGAGGATGGCGGATACGGGGGGAGGAGGAGGAGGAGGAGGAGGAGGAGGAGGAGGAGGAGGAGAAGGGGAGGGAGGAGGACGCGGGGCGCTGTCTCTTCAACGAGGGCCCAACACCACGAGATGGATCGAGGTGGACGAGCCGCTGAGATGCGGCAGGGCTGAGGGAAGAATGGCGGGCGATGCAGAGGAAGACGAATGCTGTACGGCACAGCGAAGACCTGAAGAAAGAAAACTCACAGGCGTAAGAATGTTAGCGAGCTGAGTGAGCGAGTTTGCAGCATTTCAGGAGAATGAATTCTCTCCAAGGGCCTTCCCAGAATGCTTTGGCGGACCCCCAATGGGAAACAACAC